TGATGAGAGCTGGGAAGCTTCAAGATTGAAGCCTCATCAAATGTGACGTCCCTACTCAACACAATCTTCTTATCAACTGGATCCCAAAGCTTGTATCCCTTGACACCACGCTTGAATCCTACAAATATGGCCTTCCTAGCTCGAGATTCCAACTTATCAGTTCTAAAATGATAATATGCAGGGTAACCAAATACCTTGAGCTGGTCATAGTCATATGTTGTCTCTCCCGACCACATCTCCATAGGGGTTTTCCCCTCAATCGCAGATGAAGGCAGCCTATTAATGAGGTGGCTCGCATATGTAAGTGCCTCAGCCCAAAAGATCTTCTCCAAACCACTCTGCGACAATAAGCATCGGATCTTCTCCAGTAAAGACCGATTCAACCTCTCTGCCACCCCATTTTGCTGCGGTGTATGACTAACTGTGAAGTGTCTCTCTATGCCCTCGTCTCGACATAGCTGCTGAAAGGGGTCAGAAGTATACTCACCACCGTTGTCGGATCGCAACGTCTTGATCTTTCTCCCAGTCTGCAGTTCCAATCTCTTCTTCCACTCCACAAACAAATCTAGGACTTCACTCTTCTTCGTCATGGTGTACACCCAACAACGCCTAGAATAGTCATCTACAAAAGTGACGAACCAATGTCTACCACCAAGTGATGCAGACTTAGTGGGACCCCAAACGTCTGTGTGCACGTAATTCAGGATGCCCCTCGTCTGATGAATGGCAGTCCCGAACTTCACCTTCGTCTTCTTGCCAAGAACACAGTGCTCACAGAACTCAATCTTCCCACTCTTGGCTCCCTTCAATAGCCCCTGCTTGCACAATGCCTGTAGTGACTTTTCACCTGTGTGCCCCAATCTATAGTGCCAAAGTCTGCTCATGTCCGCTTCTGAAATAGCCGAAGCAACATGGCCAATCTCGGTGCTTCCCTTCAGATAATACAAATTTCGATTACGGACTCCCTTCATCACCACCAATGATCCCTTAGTAACCTTCGCTACAGTGTTTTCGAAAGTCACCTTGAATCCCTTTGCCTCCAAAGCTCCAACTGAGATAAGATTTTTCTTCAGTTGAGGAACAAATCTCACCTCCTTCAACTCACGGACTACTCCATCGTGCATCCTAATCCGTACGGTACCTATCCCACAAACGCCACAGGATTGATCATTTCCCATGACAACAACGCCCCCGTCGACTTTCTCAAAAGATGCAAACCAGTCTCGCCTAGGGGTCACATGAAAAGTAGCGCCGGAATCAAGCATCCACTCTGATGCATCCACATGGTTCACCTCCGGAGTAATCAGTAGAGAAAAGCACGAATCATCGGAATCATCGCCTTTCGCAATATTCACCTCATTGGCCTTCGGGCCCTTTTTCTTGCCATTCTCTTTCTCCTTGAGCTTTGGGCAGTCTCTCTTCCAATGTCCCTGCTCTTTGCAGAATACACAATGGTTCTTTGTTAATTGGTGGCGGCCTTTAGACTTTGGCCTTCCTCTATTACCACCTTTCGGATATGGGCTTCTACCTCTCGTCGACAAGGCCTCACCTGAAGTGCTAGCACGGGAAGTCTCCTTATCCTTCCTCCTCAAATCATAATTGGTCAATGCGTTAGTCACTTCACTATAGATGATAGAAGATCTCCCGTTCAACAAAGTGAGCACGAAGGTATCATACTCCTCATCCGGTAAGGAGCCCAACAAAATAATCGCCTTGTACTCATCCGATATCTTCTCATCAACATTCGCCAAGTCCGACAACAACTTCGTATAGTTGTTCACATGAGCCGCAAGCGAGGTGCCTCTGGACATCTGGAATCTGAATAACCTACGCAGCAAGTGCAATCGGTTCTCAACACTCTTCGTAAGGTACTTATTGTTGAGAATTTCCCACATCTTCATCGCAGACGTCACCCCAATCACATCATACTTCAGCTCCTGTTCCAAACAGGACCTGATCACCCCACAAGCGTTCCTATTCATTTTCTCCCATACCGCCTCTTCATATTTAGGTGGCCTCTCGTGGACCATGATGGTCTCTTCCAAATTCTGAGCATTTAACGCATCCTGTACGTCGCTCATCCACAAACCAAAGTTGATTTTGCCGTCATACTTCACCACACTAATTTTAGTGTTCTGAAAACCAACTTGTATTGTACTCGCCATCGACTTGCTGCTTTCACCTTCTTCTCCCATTGCAAACTAACTCCAAATTATAGAGAAAGAACAAATTTGATAGAATTAGGAACCACCCAACTGAACCCTAGATCGGATTCCAAATAGATCTCCTATCCACACGAGGAAAGCGAAATCTCCAACGGCAACTCCTAATGTTATCTCCACCGAAGCCGAGAACTCCAAGAACCAAACTTCACACAAGAATCTTCCTCCACCAAAAAAACCCTAGATCTGAAACCTGGGCTCTGATACCACTTGTTGCGCGCAGCGGAAATTTCGGCAGCACTTCGGCAGCACAACAAGAGAGTCAGATCACAATAAGAATTCCCGTCTCACCAAGGAGACAAGAATCTGAAGCGGATATCTCAACCAAGTGGGATATCGGCTCTTCCTCTCATCAGTTCTAGGACTGATCTGTCGAGGGATCCTAAAGGCTATTACAAATCACACAAATAGCGATACAACCAATTTTACGTGGTTCGGCAAATTGCCTACGTCCACGGGGCAAGGAGGGGGGAGATCTACTAATAGAGGGAGAGATTACAACTAGGGTTTACAATTACTCACAACCTAAACCCTCAAACAAACTCTCAGATCCCTCACAAATATCTCTCTACAAAAGGATCACAAAAGGACTACACTTTTCTTTCTGCAACCGCACAAAAAAGAACTCCATGCACTTTTGCTTTTTCTTCGTGGCCGCAATGCACCAAGCCTGCTTGCAGCTGCCAATAAAAAAGACTCCTTGCTCTTCCTCTGTAGCCGCAACACATGCACAGCCGCACCCCCCTCAATCCTCTGAGTTTCACGAAACCCTAGGTATTTATATTGTTGCGGTGTAAGTATCTCGGGTGGGCCTTGTTTATATTGTTGCGGAAACAATTCTGTTGCCCAGCTCGTGGGCAAGTGGTCCCCACCCACTCACAATTCTCCACCTCGGTGAAGTTTTCCCAAAACTGAGCCGACACCAAAGCATCCAAATGTCCCACTTGTTGTGCCCAGTACGAACTCAATTCACAACAATGGAAGACCAAAGCTCTTTATGGTTCCAGAGAGTCTAAGTTTACTCTTTTGGATTTGGGGTAAAGTTTAGTGTTTTTTAGCGGGGTTTAAGCTCAAGATTTTGCAAAACTACCGTAGAGTGTAGCATCGTGAAAGGGTAATTCGACAGTGGCCTTTTCCCCCACAACAGCAATTAATTACATTCAGGTATCCCGTGGTATTATTGTAATTATGTGGATGATTTATTGTAATAACTCTGGGTGATCCCAGAGCCTATTTATATTTTCCTTCTCTACGGTCTCCTCTGTAAATAGAAGAAGTAATCGTAGGATAACCCGTGTAAAATGTAGAGAGACCTCAGGGGATTTGAATGCAATTATCATCAACAAAGAACAAACTGAATTCAGAAATGAAATCAATGAGCATCGAACAAAATACGAAAAGTGAGCCTGGAGCTCATCTATCCAAGGACGTTTTTTTAACCGTCTGTTGAAAAGCATGGCCAATTTTATGCCACAGGACGAGAAATTAAAAGGATAGCTGGAAAAATGTGAATATGCATTCTACGTTGATGTATAATATTGTAGAATGAATTATTGCTCAAAGATAAAAAAAATTCTAGACTAAGAAAGTAATACATAATGAATATATTTGTTTTACATTATCGATAGATTTTCAATGCCATGGTTCAGATATTTGGTTCAAACCGTGAGATAAGCATCCAAATACAAATAAAAGGAATAACTTCTTCAAGTTTCTCAGTTGACTTGCCGAAGCCGACCTTTTAGTTAACAAAAGGCTCATCATTGATTTAAGTCAAATTATTGATGCATAATTTAATTTATTATTGCTCTAGACAACAAACTATAGCTTCATCTCACAAGCAAGTGAGTGCCTTCACACACAGAAAACGTCCAAATTTCTTTCCCAGGGTTCGAGAGATCATCTGATGCTGAACCAACCTACAAGTTCAGACACGCATATTTCAACAAGCTACTGCAATAAATCATTGTAATAATCAGTGAGCAGAAAAATAGAAGAAAACCAAATAGAGACCACACTAATCGTTGGCTAGAGAATAATGCATTCTACAATTTCTCGAGTTAACAGCTTTTCCTATGACTTGAAAGAATTGGAGGCATGACAGGATGATGTTATATCCCTAAACGCAGATGAGCGATTGTCTTTTTCTTGCGAAGTACCTGAACTGTTAGATATTTTGTTAGGAAAAGACAATTTTGCCTTCATGAATAGTAATTAAATTTTATAATTAAAACATGTTTTAATTAGCAATTAAAAATATGTGTAACGGCTATATAATTATGGGGAACGTTACAAAATTTATGATGAACGTTACGGAATTAATTACGGGTTTTGTAACGTCTTTTCCAACCCTATATATATATCTGTATGTTGAGATCAAAATGATAAGAAAAAATATACAACAAGTTTCTCTTGTTTTTCTTCTCTCCCCTACATATTATTTTCATCTACATCTTAGTTTTATTTTATGGGCAACTTCCTTCATCTGAGCTGAAGCTCTACACTCCCGCCCGAGTACAGAGGTCGGTCGTTTCCGGGGGCTTTTACCGCTAGGGGGGAGGGAACCATCTGCGCCAGGGCGATAAGCGGGTTCTCAATCTTCTAGGGCAGTGAATACACGACTGCTCCCGTCAAGCCTGAATTTCTAATCTCTTATTTATTTTATTCGGATTTATCTGCATGCTATATTCTTAATTATTTGATAAATTTCTAACATGAACTTCAATCATCCAAGTAACCAAAGTGGTTACTAAAATAAATGGAAGTTCGATGTGCATCATGCAGAAGAAATAGCTCACAAAGACCCTCCAAGGTATCATCATATACAAGCATTCACAAAGGAAGATGATTTAAGTCAACCTTATATTATAACAGGAAAAAGTAACATACTCTCAACCAAAGAGTAAACTAAGCTTCACAAGCTAAGGTGGTCGATGTCTGAAGAAAAGAGAGCTGTGACATGTACTCCTTTCTTATCTGCTGCAGCCTGGGAACCACAAGTGTCATTGGTATTCTTTTCGTAGGTAATGAGCTTGAACAAATCAAACCCAACTCAGTAACAGATGACAGGCACTGGTATATGGAAGATAAATCCTGCACACCTTGCTCAACATTAAAACCATCTTCTAGAAGACTGTCATCCACAATATCCACCAAAGAAGACGGGTATGCTTTGCATATCCACTCCCTAAAACTTGATTCTCCGCCAAATATTGTGTCAGTAGGCTTTTTTCTAGTGATCATTTCCAACAAAAGGATTCCAAAGCTATAGACATCACCCATTTTTGAGACAGTTCCCGTAGAGCCATATTCTGTTACAAACATTATTTTCAATGAGTCAAATAAATCAGGCCTATAAGCACGTGGAAAGACAAATAGAGATCAGGTTTTAGAAGTTACAACTCTCAAAGTTGAGCTTCAATGAAACTTCATTATGGACCTTTCAGTGTATGATGCGTACCACTCGACTCTATGCATTCAACTAAGCTTATGAATGAGAGTCAAGTAGTCTGATAATTTTTTCAGTTCACAGCTAAAGTAAATTCATATTTATGATTACTCAAGTCATGAAAATCTAGGCAATTAAGAAAGAAAAAATCAGCTTCTGTATGTTATAAACCATGACCAAAACATTCTAAAAAAATTGTAAGTTTTTTTTGTAACTCTTTTTGGTATTACCTGGAGCAATATAACCTATGGTGCCTGGTGTGCTGGCTGATACTACGGACATACTGCCAAGTAGCAACTTTGCAATGCCAAAGTCACTAACATGTGCTGTCATTTCTTCATCCAACAAAACATTGCTTGGCTTCAAATCACAATGGAGCACAGTATGAGGATGGTGGTGATGGAGATACTCAAGTGCCAACGATACATCCACCATTATGTTTAATATTTGAAGAAGACTGAGATGACGAGTATCAGAATACAACAATTGATCAAGGTTCCCTTTGGGCATAAATTGGAGGACTAGCGCCTTAAAGTCCGGACTGGAACATATGCTGATGATTTTGATTAGATTCCTATGTCGAACCACGCACAAAGCTTGATATTCTGATTCGAAAGAGTTTGAAGCTCCTTCAACTTCCAAGTTCAAGACTTTCACTGCTACAATCAGCCCATCATCAAGGCAGCCTCTATAAACTGAGCCAAAACTTCCCTTTCCTATTAGATTGACTTTGTTGAAATTGTCAGTTGCACGAACAAGCTCATGGTATGAAATCAGCCTATGATCATTTAAACCTGGGAAGTCACTGTGATTTGTGTTTGTCACATTTCTCTTACGATAGAACACGAGCACGAGAGTAGCAAGGACAACCATGATGAAAGCAACAATTGGGAGGACATATCTGAGAAGGTCCAGCTTTCTCCTTGAATTTGGATATACATTAGTTGTCACGCAAGGTGGGAAGTCTAGCTGAGGTGCACCACAAAGTTCTACATTTCCCTCCAAAGAGGGGATGCTGCTATTCGAGAAAGCTCGGCCTTCTGGAATTTGTCCTTCTAAATTGTTGAATGAAAGGTCTAGATTACCGATCTGTGGAAGATTTCCTATCGACTTGGATATGGAGCCCGATAGAAAATTGTGAGACAGATTGAGATATTTGACATTTACCAGGGAACCGAGAGATTGTGGAATTTCACCTTGGAACGAGTTGCTAGAAAGATCAATGTGTGTAATCATAACAAGCTGACCAAGAGCATTGGATATTTCACCTGACAACTTATTCACTGATAGATCCAAAACATCAAGAGCCTTCAAGCTCCCCAATTGGGGAGAGAGTTGTCCATAAAGGGCATTATTTGAAAGGTTCAGTTCGATAATATTTCTTAGGTTCCACAAGCTCATGGGAATGGTTGATGATAATTGGTTGGAAGAAAGTGACAACCGCTGCAGCTGGCTGATGTTACTTATAGACCCCGGTATTGGTCCAATGAGATTGTTATTTTGAAGGTACAGTGTGCCTAAGTCTTTCATTGAACTAACCTTTGATGGTATCATTCCACTGATTTTGTTACTACCTAGGTGCAAAACCTGAAGCTTCCCTAGCTTGGCAATATCAAGTGGTATTGTCCCGACTAGCTTGTTAATACTAAGATCTATTAAGAGAAGGCTGCTCAAATTGCCTAAAGTTGTAGGAATTTCTCCTCCTATGTTGTTTTGACTTGCAGAAAAATAATAAAGATCAACGGAAAGATTCCCGACAGAATTTGGAAGAACACCATCAAATTCATTTTGCGAAACATCAAGAAACACTAGATCCTTACAACTGGAAAGCGATGTGATGAAGTCTAGTCCTCCAGTGAATTGGTTGTCATTGATGAATAGTCTGGTGAGAAATGGCAGGGACCTCCCGATTGTAACAGGAATATGTCCCGTTAAATAGTTAGAAGTAACTTGGAGAAAGGCAAGTGTGGAAGCATTGAGAAGGGAGTTGGGTATAGTACCAGTTAACCTATTAGGTCCAAGATTTAGATATTCAAGATTTGGCAGATACCCAAGCTCCTTAGGAATTACCCCTTCAATATTGTTGAAGGCTAGGTCGATCCTTACGGCGTTTGTGAGGTTGCCAAAAGATGATGGTATTGATCCAGTTAATGTGTTATTTGCAAGGTACATTAGTCTAAGCTCTGACAGGCTCCCAAGCTCGTCAGGTATGGCTCCAGTCAAGTTGTTGAATGACAAAGAAAGAACTTGAAGGTCCTTGCACTGAGCAAAGCTAGAAGGAATCTTACCTGTTAATTGATTGAGTGACAATGAAAGAATTTGAAGGGCCTTGCACTGTTCAAATATAGAAGGGATCTCACCAGATAACTGATTACTAGCAAGATAAATCTGTTCGAGATTCACTAGATTCCCTAACTCCTTGGGAACTTCCCCTTCAAACTTGTTAAGGCTTAGTTCCAGAGTGGTGAGCTTTGTGAGATTGCCTAGAAATTTTGGGATTTTTCCAGACAAGTGATTATCTCCAAGTAATAACACAGAGAGATTTGGCAAGCGGCCAAACTCAGCAGGTATGGCGCCCGCGAACTCATTATACGACAAGGCAAAAGTTTCAAGGCTCCTGGATTCACCAAATGCAGATGGAATCTCACCTGTCAACTGATTAGATGCGAGAGAGAGAAATTCAAGACGAGGAAGCATGATAAAGCTTTTGTTTGATGGCAGAGTGCCAGTGAGATTGTTATAAATGAGAGATAACAAGACCAATGAAGACATGTTGAAGATACTGATAGGAATAGGACCAGATAGAAAGTTATGTTGGAGAATGAGCCTCTTCAGACGCGGTAACTGAGCAAGGGATCGAGGTATGGAGCCTCTAAGGCTGCAGTTTGCAAGGTCGAGCTCTGAGAGGAAAGAGAGGTTGCCAAGGTGAGAAGAGATAGCACCCTGAAGGCGAAAATCTCGGAGTTTGATGGAAGTGACTCGTTGATGTTGATGACTGCAAGAAACTCCGACCCAGGTGCAGAAGGACATGTTGGTGGTCCAGTTGGTGGCTAACATGCCATATGGATCATTGACTTGAGCTTTGAAGGACAACAGAGATTCGACATCGGTGAAGTTGGTGAATGTCCTTGATGTTGCATGATGAGATAAAGAGAAGGTTAAAATTAGAAGGATCTTCACATACAGAAAGAAAAAGGGAAGCAACTCCATGAATAAAATTATTGTCAGAAGAGAAATATAGGTTCGTAAAGGGAGCTTCTATGTGTTTTGTGAACCAAAGCATGGAGGTATGCAGTTAATTTATAATGTTGCACAGGTAGTTGTCAGAAGATGAGAATATGATATTGAAATTAATTGTAGACAAGTAAACCCTCATAAATGCATCAAGAATACACCTTTTCTTTGATTATCCCAGATTAATTTTTGCAACTGTCTGTGTACTTAAAAAATATACCATGGAATTCTATGACATCATAATACATAAATAAACATATTCATGTTAAATGTTTAATCCTAAAATGTATTGAGTCCTGAAAAATACTCTAACTTCAAAATTCTCTGCTTATCACCCTATACTTGCCGATGACTATACATCTATTATTATAGCTAGGTAAAACATTCCCATCTGTCACCAACTTCCTCTCAATGTACAATATTATTGCAGAGATTATTGCATGTTAATGTTTTAATTTTGGTCATATATTTGATTGATTTGCACTTTTACCAGATTATTTTATATAAGATTTCGTATAGATGGTCTGACTTGTTGATATACGCACAAAAGTGTTTCCCTGGCAATGCCCAGGTCACAGAGAAAACTATGTATAAATCTATACTACTATATAATGGAAATAGTGGGGTAGGCCAAAAATGGATGAGAGGTGGACATTTTTTCCATTACTATTGTATTTGAAAGGGTAGAATTGTAATTTTATAGGATTGTTTTTTTTTTCTTCCTTTTTTTTTCCTTCTCTCTTTCTTTTTTCTAGAACTTTCTACAATGTTGACATGAGCTAATTACTAAAGCTCACTAAGCACATATTTATTACATTACATAGTATAAGGATTATAACTATAAATTGATAAAGTTCTTTTTTTCCAAAAAATGTATATAAATAAAATGAAAATAACAAATAAATTTTCAATATGGTCCAATGTAGATATTATTGAAAGTGTATATCTAGATACTTAGACTATAAATAATTAAAATAATAAAATGAAATATGAAAAAGACTCTTCTAAAGAATATTATCTAAAAAAATTATCATCATCGCTCAAATTGAAATATTTATAAAAGTCAATTCCAAATAAGATAAATAAATATAGCACATTAAATGAACAAACACCACAAAAAGATCTTGCAAAAATTGATGATACTTTAAGGCATTAATTTATGTAAAAATTAGAATATTTAAGTTTTAATTTCTGTTGCACGTGCATTAATGCTAGTAAATTTGAAGAAAAATTAGAATATCTGTTTTAGTTTCTGTTGCATGTGCATTTGCACGTTCAATAATGCTAGTGAGAATTAATAGACCAAATGTGTTACAAAATATTAACAAAATAATTGGGTAAGACTAAATCATGAAGTTGATTTATATAGATCGACAACTAATATTTTTGTTGCCACATGCATTTAGAGTTGCACTAGTGCATGATGAGGAAAGATGCTGAAGCTTGTCTTGGAAAATGATCGATCATTGAAGTTCCGTTGATTATAAGGAAGTTTTGTGGATTCAGCCCTATTTTAGCACAATTATTTCTTTTGCCACAATTATTTTCATAAGCAAAACTTTCATCAAACTTGAGATCAAAATCCACTGCTGCTGTTCGTAATTTCTTTTGCTTCAAAACTGATGCAATAATGATGGGGAAATGCTTATTTCTTATCATTGTCAAATTTCTCGCAGGGGCTAATCAAGCTTGTGATGTATTGTGTTCTCATTTTTAGCTCTTGTTTTAGTTATACTTTTAAGGAGTTTGATCCTATTTCTTTTACAAATACTAGGTAAAAGTTTTTCTCACCAAGGATTTTAACATAATATTCATGGACAATGTTATGGAAATGAAAATGTCATGGCTACAGTTTTCCATCAAGATAAATGTTAATTGAATCTTTATATAAAGAAACTGCATCTGCACATGGAAGCACCTTAAAGCTGAAATTAGCAAACAAAGCTTTAGACAAGTCAACAACTTTACCAAGAATATGCACAAACTCTACAAGTGACTGCAAAATTGGTGAAGTGAAAGTGCTGTGCAAGCAATTTACCCATAATACTCTCTCACAATCATTTCATCGAACAGCTCTTGGGCGAAAGCAAACATCTCCCCTCAGCGGAAAATCCTGAGAAACATCAAGAAAGTGCATCACCTTCGAGGGCAGACAGGAGCTCTTTAATGATCCCTGGGATAGAGATTGAGGGGTATTTAGATATTAGTCCACCAAATGAACTCTCCAATAATTTTTATGGTCCCTCAAAACTTTGAAATTGCTCATACATTCCTCAAAATCCAAGGGGTCTTACAGAATTGGCCTCTCAAAATCTAGTGCGAGAGACGAAGCAAACTAAAAAATTTATTTGGCCACGAGGTTAAACCTTGACTTATTCTTTATGATTTGATGGTTCGTGTGGAGGAAACAGAAAAGAAACAAGAGCTCTCGGATTGTCGAGCGCAGTGGAAAGGTCTAAGCATGCTTTTGATGTTTGCCCAACAATAGGGAGCTGCGTGGCCGTCCATGGTTGCTCCAATTGTTTGGAAGTCTCCACCTGCAATGATTATGGTAGTTAAACTTTGACGGCGCGGTAGGAATTATGAAACTTTGACTTCGATGGCGTCGTGCTTGATGCATTGAAGTCAGGGTGACGGTGCGAGGTCATAGAGGGGAGATCTTTTGCTGGTGGGTTTCCAATATTTTTGTTATTCAGGGGGGGCTGGAACGTGAGAACATGTCGCTCTCTGTGAAGCATTGAATTTTGCACATGAAGCTAGATTTTGGAGGGTGATTGTGGAGGGAGATGCCGCCAACGTGAGTGCTGAAAGTATTGTTTTTACTACACCCATTTGTTTACCCAACTTCATCTTTAAACCCAACCATCATTAGTTGTATCTTTAAGCACAATTCACTTTTTATATTTGTCTTTAGACCCAATCTCTAAAATAAAGTACTTTCAGCACTTGTATTTATACATAATTAAGGTAAAAAAAACCCCAAAATACACCTTTCATTGCCAAATATAAATCAGTTTCTCTCTCATCATTTTCCCCTTTCTCTCTCAGCCCTAAATTAAAAAAACGACCACGAACTACCGCTGTGTCGCCCGTCGTCCACCACCCGTCGCCCACCGCTGTCGTGGACCTCACAGTGTCACCGACCTCGCCGTTGCTCCGACGCCCGGGCCAGTCATCAGTCGCTGCTCCTTCATAGAAATCAATTGGTAAAAGATTTGGCTATGATATTGATGTTATAATGGCAATAAATAAGCATTTAGGCCAGTTATGAATACAATGCTTATCTGAATAGGGAATACTTCAATTGCTGAGAATTATTTGACACCCTCAATTGTATTTTTTGCCTCATATCGAAAATAACAACAAATACTCAAAACCTCCATTTTGTTTTCAGTATTTGAAATTTGTTTTAATAAAGGAATTACGTATAATATTGATAGGCAACTAAAGTTGCCTTATGTTTTATAGTTGCAGAAAATTCTATCTCATGGCGTTATTGTGAATTCCATCCAACGTTGTGAATTCTATCTCATAAGTGTAATGTTCATTGAACCGCTTATATTCAGTCTATTGTTCTTTTGATCAGCTTATATTTTGATTTCAGGATATCAATGTGATCCTCAAGACCAATTCCCTGGATGCTAGATGTCAAATGTGATATCCAATATTTTTGTATGTATAAATATATGTTTGGAAATTGATTTGTAAAGTAATATTGTCTGTGGGACTGCTGTTGGAATGGATTATGTAAAGTATTGTCTTAGTGTTGATGCATTCAGTTTCTTCTCCCTCGATGGAGCACTCATTTATTTTGTTTTGTATAAATATCTGTTTGAAAATATATTTTAATTCCAAGGTTTTTGTCTTATAAGCTGTAATTTAAAAGGTTTGTAAGCTATATTTCAGGTTATAGCATGAAACCTGTAAGTATATGACGTTATCCTGTAAGTATAGCACGTATCCTGTAAGTATAGCACATTATCTTGAAGTATAGCACGTTATCCAGTAAGTATAATACGTTGACCAAAAGTATATCACGTTATCCTGTAAGTATAACACGCTATCCAGTAAGTATAGCATGTTATCCTATAAGTATAGCACGTTATCCAGTATGTATAGCACGTTATCCTTTAAGTATATCACGTTATCCTTTAAGTATAACATGTTACCCTGTAAGTATGGCATGTTATTCTGTAAGTATAGCACGTTGACCAAAAGTATAGCACGTTATCATGTAAGTATAGCATGTTATCATGTAAGTATAGCACATTATCCTGTAAGTATAGCACGTTATCCAATAAGTATAGCACATTATCCTGTAAGTATAGCACGTTATCCAGTAAGTATAGCACGTTATTCTGTAAGTATAGCACGTTATCCTGTAAGTATAGTACGTTATCCAGTAAGTATAGCACATGTAATCATGTAAATATAGCATGTTATCCTGTAACTATAGCACGTTATCCTGTAAGTATAGCACGTTATCTAGTAAGTATAGCATGTTATCCAGTATGTATAGCACGTTATCCTGTGCACATGTTATCCAGTAAGTATAGCACGTTGACCAAAAGTACAACACGTTATCCTATAAGTATAGCACGTTTTCTTATAAGTATAGCATGTTATCCTATAAGTATAACATGTTATCTAGTAAGTATAGCACGTTATCCAGTATGTATAGCACGTTATCCTATAAGTATAGCACGTTAACCAGTAAGTATAGCACGTTTACCAAAAGTATAGCACGTTATCTTGTAAGTATAGCACATTATCATGTAAGTATAGCATGTTATCCAGTATATATAACACATTATCTTGTAAGTATAGCACATTATCCTGTAAGTATAACACATTATCCTGTAAATATAGCACGTTATCCTGTAAGTATAACATGTTATCCAGTAAGTATAGCACGTTATCTTGTAAGTATAGCATGTTATCCAATAAGTATAGCACGTTATCCTATAAGTATAACATGAATTCATAAAAATTATTAAAATTTGTTACTTTTGATAAAATGTTAGTTAAATGAGGTTTTGATAAAAATTATTAAAATTTGTTACTTTTGATAAAATGTTAGTTAAATGAGGTTTTGTAATTAACCACCAATTAATTTCACATTATTATTTCACATGTTGATAAAATGTTAGTTAAATGAGGTTTTGTAATTAACCACCAATTAATTTCACATTATTATTTCACATGATTATTTCACACTAATTTCTCATTATTATTCATGAATTCATAAAAATTAGTTAAAATTTTAGTTAAATTTGATTTTAGTATAGAATGATAACTTGTAAGTATAGCATGAAATACATTACTTGTAAATATAGCACGTTATCCTGTAAGTATAGCACGAAACCTTGTAAGTATAGCACGTTATCCTATAAGTATAGCATGAAACCCTATAAGTATTGTTGGTATCTTTGTTTTGGTGATGCTTAACAAACAATTTATCACTAATGTTGTTTATTTAGTATTTGTGTTTATTTATTTATTATAGACAAACAACAAGTTGGAGGATGGATGAAATTGCGTCATAACGATCATATCAAATGGAGGTTGGAGAAATAGTGGTTGAAGCATTGCAATTCAAGTTGAAGATCCAAGTCCAAGCTTCATCCACAAAGTTTACTGATAAACACGTAAAATATGCATTATCTTAGTGTGTTTTAAGCATGATTTACGAGTGTTTAATGCATATTTCGTGTTTAGATCGAGGATACTGCTGTGGTTTGTGTTCTTATATGTAGGTATTGGCTCA